AGTCCTATTTCAAAAAACGGTCAGATTGTGACTATTGTTTGAAGATACGTTAAGAACCGGCAAATGTTTGCGATAGACATAACGCATTATTTTTGTCTTTCTTAATTTTTCATTACGGGAATTTTCTACGACAATCGAAATATATGGTGCTAGGTATTAATAAAAATATTTAAATTTGATTCTTAATTTACTTAAGTGAAACATCAGCCTTCAGTATGTTTTCATTTCCTTCTTTTATTTAAATAGTTTACGTAGGTACTTAAAATTTGTCATCGGACCAGCAGTGCTATTAAGAAGAAACTCACTTTTCACCGCAGAATCCGCGGTGAGAATTGAAATTAGAATACGAATATCATATCACACAAAATGCGTATTCTAATCTCAATAGTTTACTGTACAAACGAAATTCTATTTAGTCCGTCAGTTAGATGACCAAAAGATAATGGACACGTATTTTTTCTTTGGGCAATCAACCAAAAAATGACAAAGTTATAGCGCGTCAAAGTTTGGGAGTAAGGGCCTCGTGACGACACTTTTGAGTGAATTTTCACTTATAAGTGTACTCAAACGTGACGTCATGCGACTTTTCAAATCAATATATCTCTGCAATATTTATATTATGTGAAAAAAGAAAAAATACGTGTCCAATACTTTTTGATAATCTACCTGATAAACGAAGAAAAATAAATAGTCATCATCCCTATTCACACGCGTATTCCGCAGTAAAAAGTGAATTTTTCTTTACAGCAGATAGTTTCGGAAAAGTTGGTGACTGTCAGGCCTAGAAGCTCTCAAGTTTGAAAACTCTCATTTAACATATAAAAGCGAGATCGCGTGTTATCAGAATACCTACATCGGCCGGTATTCTAAGCGCACCGCACTCATTAAGATGTTCAAAATGTCTACGTATTTCATAAAATGTTACGGCCCCGTTTCGCACTCATATTATCCGCGTTATGGCAGTTGCAAAGTCTGCGGTGCATGGCAATTACTGAGTGCTTTGTAAGTTTATTGCCCTGGAGTCCTTTAGGGGAACACTAACGGAATACCGAATGTCGGCCCTAAATTCTGTTAGTCAAACACCAGGCTTGTAAGAATTGAAGGCAAAAAATTCTAATAAAACGCGCTGATTTTATTATCTGTCGAAATTGTACGCCTGAGGAATCCACTTAAATAATTATGTGATTTTGGAATGGAAAGGAATTGCAGAACAGCAAAGGTGGAGTGTAAAGAAAACAATGGTTAAATTTTATCATATTTTTATTTGAATATTGATATTTATAAATAAATAGATATTTCCAACACTCACACCAATTAGCCTAGTCCCAAAGTAAGTACTTACAGTACTTACTTTGGGACTAGGCTTGTGTTTTGGAATACTAGAGTAACGGATAGAACACATTATTATCTACAATATACATAGAGAAAAATTAGAGAACTCAGAATCACTCGAGATATTAAGTCACCCATCTAGTGACTAGCTTTTGCGAAAGCCCCTTAACCTCTGCAATTGCAGATTTAATGCTGTAGGTATTACTGCGCCTTCGACTGATTTGCCGTTAATTAATCCGGACTTTTTTCGTAATAATGTTGGTTGTGACATTACTCTGTTGCCAGTATTGATCTAATGTTGTAGTTCTGCATGGCGCATATTAAATTTTTGTACCTCCGAGTCCCAGTATGGGGTAAGCGTTTAGGCATTCAAAGCAAACTTTATTAAACATAAAAATAATTTTATGGTTTTAAGGATATTAACCTCTTCGCCTGTATTAAATTTCTTGGTATTTTAATTTTGAAGTTGGAATTCGCAATGCAACTCGTTGCACGCATTCTAAACTAACTCACCAAAAAATGTAAAAGCATTTTGTTAATGATCACATCGAATTATTTCACACATTTCACTTAACATCTAAATAAGTTTTTAAACCAAAAATTTGAAATTCGTTAAAAATCACAAGGAGAAAAATAAGTTTTTTACAATTTTATTATAAAACTAGAGAAACTATTTGTTGGAAATGTGTCGTTAAGGATGTTGCTTAAATCTAATTGCAATTATCGGATGGACGTTGCTTAGAAATAACAACGATTTACAAAACCATGCCCAAATCAATTTGATTAGACAGAACTGTCTTGTGAAATTGTATTTTTTTTTAACTGTCAATGTACTTGTGATTCTGTCAAGTGCAATCCTTAAATCCAAAGGCTTTTTTTTACTATATTAACTTCTAGACTATACTTAGACCTAATAGGTACGCTAGTACGTTAGTTTTCACACACATAATTACTATATTTTTATTCATTTCACATTACAAACTACTGTCATAACAGATAACTTTTATTCATTCCTCAAAATAGGTTTTGGTACTAGGGTACCTGAGTAGTTTATTTCATTATCTATACTATTCCATGACTATGAGTTAGGCTAGTTTATATGTAAGTACTAGCGGCCCGCCCTCGCTTCGCTTCGGTGTAGAGCTTAAGTGTAGATTACAGTTTTTGTTCTCTGGCTTGTATTATATATATACACAATGACATTCATCTATGATTCTTCTTATACCTGCATGCAAAGTCTCAGCCCGATCGGTTTAAAATTGACAAAGTTTCATACAAACTTTCATTCCCTATTTTATCCCGTTGGGGGTAGAATTGATCAAAATCCTTACTTAGCGGATGCCTACGTCATAACATCTACCTGCATGCCAAATTTCAGCCCGATCCGTCCAGTGGTTTGGGCTGTGAATTGATTATTTCTATTTAAATATACTTATATATGTACTGTATATGTATTCTATCTGTTACCCTAGCATCCCATAACACAAGCCTTATGGTGCTCACTTTGGGGCTAGGCTAATTGGTGTGTGTTGGAAATATCTATTTATTTTTTATTTATTCTAGTTCTTCTACAGATTTCCTCATTTCTGATTCGATCACGTAGGGAAATACCAAGCATAGCTCTCTCCATCGCTCACTGTACGACTCTGAGCCTTCTTATGAAAACCCTTGTCAACGACCACGTCTCAAGTCCGTAAGGATGAAATACGATTAGTACCATCAAACATTGACTACTAACGTCTATGCGAAGCATATTCTCATTAGAAAATCGATGGAATCCATTTTAATTACAAATGGAGCTTCTAACGTACTAATTACGGGCTTTGACCGAGTGGATGCAAACAGTTTGTTTGTGAGTGAAATGTTCGCGTTTTCACCGTTCATTTTATGCAAATGACCGATCGTTTGATTACATCTGTTGTTGTTTAGATAAACGTTTCCGATAAGTGATTGATATTATTGATGATAGGGACTATTCGAATTGATTACTTAATTCCAAAACTTATAACTACATACTTCGGTTTCACTTTATATTGGAAGCTTTGTTGATCATATTTGCCTCACACAACTATTGAAAAAGTGCTTAAGATCTTGAACAACTATTGTATCTATTTCAAAGCCTAAGAGAAGAAAGTGTATCAATCTATCATTTAAAAAAGTAAAAGAAACTTATCTGTCACCAACAATACTTAACGCCGTAACGGTAACTTAACTAGCTCTACTTACTGGCACCCACTGACCTAGTGATCTCATGTTTTTGCCAACAAACTATCTCAGATGTCAACAATAGGCGAAATCGAATGGAATTGAATTAACACAGATTTGAGAATTTGGTCTTTAATTAGACGGGTTTATTGAATAATTTTGAGGGGCTTGGTGGTTAGCGCGATCGGCTGCGATCATTGAAGTTAAGCAACTTTCGCAGTGATCGGTCATAGGATGGGTGAACAAAAATTTTCTATCTCGAGTTCCTCCGTGCTTCGGAAGGTACTTAAGCCGTTGGTCCCAGCTGCATCTGCATTCGGTAGCACCCGCTAATCTGCACTGTGCCCGCGTGGTGGGTCATGGCCCAATCTCCCTATTCTAGCCATTCTATTCGTGGATGGTGTAGCAGTTTATAACTGCTGTACCAGCTATCTTCGCGTTTGGACTTTATCATCACTTAAAATCAGGTGGGGTAGAGTCATTTGCCTACTTGGGTATAAAAAAAAATAGGGAAGGACGTACCCCAGCAGTGGGGACATTAAAAGATTCAAACAATTTTAGAGCTCTTTTAGACACGTTTAAATTACATTAGCACATTTAACAGCGTTATCGGCCTATGTTTTAAACATGTGTGAAATTTTCAACATTTTTATGAAGAACAAGCTGATCCAGCGAACTTCGTACCGCCATAAAAATAGGGACTGGTAAAAATGAAAAGTGTTGTACGTATATATGTTGTACGTTTCGGAGAAGTATGGTAACTAACATTGTGACACGAGAATTTTATATAAAAGATTTAGCTTTCACATTAACATTAATAACAAGATTAAATAGGAGATGTTTCCAACAAGGAAAATAATTACATTCCACGCACGTAAATAATTGAAAAAAAAAACAACATGACTTCCGGTAACAATGGCTGCAGGTGGGTACAGTCGATTGCAAGATGTCGGATACAAATTTACATTCACATCTGTCACGCTTGCAGAGGTGCGCTGGGTAAAATACTTGGACATTATCCGAATAAATTTTCCTGATGCGAGAATTTCCGTGTTATACGATTCGCATTATAAATAGGTATTACAATGCTAATTTATTTATTTCTTCTCTGACATAAAAATTGCAATAATTAGGTACCTATCTTAACTTAAAATGGAACAATAGGTGATATGCCGAAGTTACCTGTATTAATTCTTTCTTTGAATTTTCGGCAACCGTGGTCTTCAAGAGCATATTGGACCTAGGGCCAAGAGAACCAAGGCATTCGTTATTGCCCTATATTTAATTTACTAATTATACTAATTTAATTAGGGGGGGGGGTCGTCATTGGCTCGGAGCGGCAGATTTTAAAATACGTCCCTGGTGGTCACAATACTGACCGAGATGCCTGCCTCTAATAAACCGTTTCAATAACTTTTTTTTTATATGATTTCCGTTAATTAAACTAATATTTATTGTTACAGGTACAAAATGAACATATTACTTGCGACGTTGGCTATCCTAGCGGTCGGGTCTACCGCCGAATGTAAGTATATTATGATAATACTGTAGTATGTAACTATCAAAAAGCATTCATATCATTAGGGTGTAAAGGTCGCGGTACGTAACTCTAGCGCTGAACAAAACACGGAGGGGATACCCCAATCGGCGCAACGCACGCCCGCCCGCGCACCTCGTTTCCCCCCAAGACATCTTTATTTTTTACTCCTACGCAATTACGGTCAGCGCTAGAGTTTCATGCCGCGACTTATACACGCAAGAGAAACTTTTACCTTTAGTGTCAAATCCTAAACAATAAGCTATGTGACCTTATGAACGAAAAAACAACCAATTATTGACACCTGTATTTAATATGAAGATTGGCAGCGATCTTACTATTCTGCGAGAACAATTTTTTTTTCTCTAAAAAATTATTGAGTAGTTATGATTTTCAACATTCTTTTATTAGGTCGGCCTGTATATTACTAACTTTGTAATGGAATCTAAGGAAACTAATTTAACCATCTTTCAAGAATCGTAGCGTAATGAAAATTGGCAGGTGTATGTAGTTCTGATGACAAAACAATAATATGGTACTGTCGAATTGATCTGAAAAATATAAATATGACGTTCTTTAATATACTGAGGTGTGGTATGAAACTCTGCCATTCTTATTAACCGTAGAAACATATTTTTTACACTTTCTGAACATTGCACTTGGCATTTCAATTATATTTCTGACACATCAAGGACACGATTTGTTTCACTCGCTGTTATTAACCGACTAAATCAAATTACGACAAATTGTCTGAAAATTGTCTGAATTTGACTGCAACAGCTTATGCGCGCTAGTGACATATCTATCTCTATAGTTAATGTAATATCATTGGAACGAACGAACAACGCTACAGTAGCTAAAAAAAGCAAGATCTACTCAGAAAACTCTCAAACTGCTTACTTAACACATGTAGGTATGTGTTAAGTAAGACCGAGTACCGCAACTAAGTAATTTCAAGATGTCTCATTATGCACCGTTAGCTAAGCCTCTACTGTTATTCGTTCGACTCACAATAATACCAGGGCGCCTTACAGGCCCATAGTGATCCGAAATGATTTGCATACCAAATATTTCTCTTTAGAACCGCTAATTGGAATTAATGAAGGAATAGTCTTCATCGTTCTATGAGGCTTCTTTTTATTTAGGCCAGGGCGGACGCCTTTGAAAAAGGTAAAAAGTGGAAAAAATCAGAAAAAGATGAAAATCTTGTCTTGATTTCAAAAAAAGAGGTCACATTAAAAAAATATAAATATATTTTTCCGATCTCAAATCGCCTGTCAATTACTTATTTACGGGCGATTTGAGATCGGTTCAGGGTGGCGGAAGACCTTTGAAGACCTTTTAAGGGGATGTGGGAAACGGTTTTATCGCGAATTTCGGGAAATCTACAATTTACATTGAAAATAATTAAATGGCAAAATTGTAGGTAATTAGAAGATAAAAAGCTTTCGTTTTTACGATTTATTCACCATAGCCTGAAAACGTCTGTGGAAAATCAAACATTTTCACAACCGACATTTATTATTTTTATTAAATTGCTATTCAAGCATTGAAGTGCCAAATTTTTATATCTAAATAATATTTTACTAGAAAAAAATACTAGGTATTGATTTAGTTATATGAGCATGTTGGATAACTAGGGCAGTGGTTTTAGCCTACACAACTTTAATAGCAATGAGTTATAAATACAACTTGGCCCCTCTACTACTTCACACAAACCAAACCGAAAAATAGGATCAAGACCTATTCAACTCAAATTAATCAGTCTCTACTCGATTCAGTAAAATAAAATCTCACTTCCGATTTCGGTAGCTGTCATTTTAGACATTAGTTACACATTTGATATACATTAGCAAAATGTCGCTATGACTGTAAAAGCAGCCAGTATTAGATATTTGACAATTGTCAGAAATCTTAATAAATGAGATCTTAAGTGACATCTTACAGAATACCTATGCTGTACTTATTATACTCAGTGTAGCCAGGTCTCCCAATTCTACAGGTCTCCTGTTTTTCTGAAATTTCTCCTGTTCTACTGTTTTTCTACATGAATCTACTGTTTTTCTAATAACACGATTTTCTTTTATAAATTGCATGTTCAGTTGCATTTTTCGCCATTAATAAGTAGGTAACCTTAATTATTATAAAATAAATGTGATTGCCTAAAAAACGAGCTTTGAGGGGCGGCATAAGCGGTAGCAAGTACGCTTCTGCATCTACGGTTTTTTCTTGTAGCTCATTCCGTACATCTACAGCATTTTTCTATAACGCCTCCCGATTTTTAAAAATCGGACTTGGCAATACTGATTGTAGCGTAAATCGAGCCTAATTGAACGCATTCCTTTCGCAGCGGACAGCAAAGCGCGCACAGTATGCTACTTCAGCAACTGGGCTGTGTACAGGCCCGGCGTGGGCAGGTACGGCATCGAGGACATTCCGGTGGACCTGTGCACCCACATCATCTACTCTTTCATTGGCGTCACTGAGAACACCAGCGAGGTGCTCGTCATCGACCCAGAGGTATAGAATCTGAGCTTTTATTATAAAATAAAAAAAAAAACAAAATTCAATATCGTTTATTCAGTCTAGGCTGTTACGAGTACTTGTGAATGTCGAAAAGCTACTTTACTATTACGTAGCTAGTTCGTAAATCTACGGTGGGAGACCTTGTACTGAGAAGAAACTCAGCAAGGGTTTTTTTTCTCCCTGTAATATACGGATTCGTCAAATTGAAAATTGACTTCAATATGAGATAACTCATGAAGTCACTTTCCATTACAAATGTGAATGTTATAAAAAATATGAATATAAAATAAAAAACATATAAAAAACTGATTTACAAAGTTTAAGTTTTGGAATGTTTAGGAATGCCGTGCCCTACTGTTTAGGCATACATATATCAAGATTAAGGTTGAAAATGGCTATTTTTGTTGCGGATAAATTGTATGTCCTTTTTCACATAAAACAATCTCGTATCAAAGGTCAATTTTATTTCTTGAGATTCATATCTTATAAAAACTAGTTGGAATCAATCTGATGATATGCTTTAGACATAAAAAGTGTAGAAGCTTTTTATATATATTGAGTACTTATCAATATAATTTACCATGTTAGCAAAATACCGAGCATCTTGTAAAAAAGTACATTGGGCTCGATTCTGGCACAATTCTCTAAACCTTAAATTGTATTTAAAAACATAAAGGCGATTCTGTAAAATAAATCTAACTTCAGATTTCAGAACATAGCTTCCATTAATAGACATTAGTTTGAAATGAATTACGCCATTACACGGCAAAATGTCGCTATGTCTTTAAAAGCAGCCAGATATTTGACATTTAATTTTGTAAGAAATCCGAATAAATGAGATCGTAAGTGAGATAGCATCTTACGAAATACCTATGCTGTATATTCTTGTCATACTCTATTTAGAATAAAAAGGTTTTCAAAATTAGATTTCAGTATTGAGAAGCATGGCATCGGGCCTATTGCGTCTAAACAAGACGACACAATTAAAGAAAATAAAACTATTTTTTTCTGAGGTTTTCACGCACATCCCTCATTAAATAAAACAAGTTTCAAGAGGTTAGATTTTATTTTATAGCTATTAACGGAATTGTTACCATGTACCTTGTTTTTTTATGAGTCGAGCACAGTAAAAGACGACGTAAAAGGGTAGACCGATATTTATTTTTATTTTTATAAACTTTATTGACCAAAATATATAAAAAATGGTGCAAAAGGCGGACTTAATGCTAAAAGCATTCTCTCACAGTCAACCTTTGGGAATAATTAAAAACACGAACGGCGGTATAAAGCTATCGCTAAGGGGGTATAAGCGATATGTCTGCCAATAATATCTACCCGCAATTACTTCAGTTACAGTGTAATCATGGCGCTTGCAATAGTGCCGAAATATCGGAGACTCATAATAAACAAGGTACATGGTAACAATCCGGTTAATAGCTATAATGTTAGTGACCATGAAAGCTTTAAACAATATATATAGTGTATTTATTTATTGACGTTTCGCACCCTTTGCAGGAATGCGTCGTCAGAATAATGATTTTTTATTTACTTTGTCGAGCTCAAAGATTTAAATCGAGCTACCCTAGAAAGACTTTTATTTAGCGTTCGGATATTTCATTGGAAGATTTTTAAAACTTTATTGGCAATGCATGAATTTAGTAGTTAATTTAATTAATGAAGTACTTTATTTAATTCTTTTTCATAATTTTAAGTTTATTTTAATTGAACCTAACTACCGTAAACTACTACCGGTTCCAAAATTGGGAGACCTTACCGAGAAGAACAGGTGAAACAAACTCACAGAGGCTTTCTATCTCCTTCTTATATTAAATCATGCAAACAAAAAGAACTAATAGTATCTGTTGGTCTTACAAAATAAAATTAATTGAATAAATGTTCTTTTCAGTTGGATGTCGACAAGAGTGGTTTCAAGAATTTCACAGCGTTGCGGTCTTCCCACCCCAGCGTCAAATTCATGGTCGCGGTGGGTGGATGGGCCGAAGGCGGCTCCAAGTACTCCAAAATGGTCGCCCAGAAGAACACCAGAATGGCCTTCGTCAGAAGCGTTGTTGGTAAGTCAATCAACCACCCCAAAATCAACATCATCATCCCAACAGCCTATTGATGTCCTTATTGCTGAGAACAGAACAACTGCATATGCAGACGGGGTCAACGGCTTGACGTGCCCTCCGAAGGACGGAGGAGTTCAGGATAATACATTTTTGGTCACCCATCCGATGACCGGCCACTGCGAAAGTTTCTTAACGTTTGTAGACAGAACACGCTAACCACTTGCGCCATCGAGCTCCAGAATAGTATCTCCTGAATTAAAAATTCATATTTATATAATAATCGGTTCAGTTAGGGAAGCTACACACATCCTCGGGCCGGCATAGTCGGTTCGTCCTTGTTATTGCAGAGTAATTAGCTCTGTTATTGTGAAAATAGTATCTAGCAACGACACGTAGACTCTACTTAAATAATGTCAAGATTACCTACATATTGTTATATAAAGAATTTTAATTGGATCATATACGATTGTGTGAGAGATACCTCGAGAATTAATTGTTAACAACAATTAGGTTACAGTTATATTATGTAGAGTTTATGTAAGAAAAAGGAAGAAAAGTGTGTACTATAAACTTGCATTTTTCATTATGTAAGCTAAGAAATTGTGATTCTATTACAAAAATTAAATGGTTTGCTTTAAAGTTCCTAATTACTGTTACAAAGATAGTCATTACGTTAAACGAAACAGATTGACATTGTTATAGAAACGTAGACATTTGTTTGTGTAATTTATCGACTTTGGTAAAACTGAAGAGGCAGAGGGAACTGAACCCATACAGCCATCTTCTGTTGATGAAATACAACATCTGCAGTGGATTTTTATGCTGTAGAAGGCGCGAGCCAAGTCTTATATTTATTAAACATAAATATGTCCAAAGTTTTTAAGCAGTTAGCTGCTGGATGTTGAAATTTTATTTAGATTTAAATAAAATAATCTTTTATACATATTTGCAATAAAATTCATGAAGGTCAAATCCAATGTCTAACATATATTGTAGTGTTAAACGAAAGAATAGTTTCAAAATCGAATTAAAAAAATCTTGTCAGTATCCAAATATTTTCCTTTTAGTCATATATATCTATCGTTGGTATAATAAAATCAATTATACGTTTAAAACAAAATTCGTTCCTTATAAGTTCCTGAAGAGTACTCGGTATGTTTTCAGGGGTTTGATAAATCTCCTGAAGGCAATCTATAAGAACAATCATGCCTAGAACGAAGTTACTACCGCACATGAAAAAAGAAAGTGAATTTATTTGTTTATGACGCTTTTACGCTTAAACCACTGAATGGATTTGGATGAAATTTGGTACGCATATAGTTTATGACCTGGACTGAGACATATAATACTTTTTATCCCAGAAAATTTTAAGGTTCCTGAGGGATTTTCAAAAAACTAAGGTTAACGCGGACGAAGTCGCAGGCGGACGCTAGTTAATACATAGTTACGAATACAATCATTTAGCAGTGGGAGATAAACCTACTTTCATATTTGTTTCTAATCTTTAATTTAATTCTTTTTAAATTGAAGCAATTTTTCAATTTGTTGAAACGACCTTTGCGGGGTTTCTTGTTAGCTGTAAAGAGTACAAGGTTTAAGTTTAAATCTAGAATAGTCAAAATTTGCAGTCAAATTACTTTTGGTTTAGCGGGATTCTCCAAATAACTTGTACTTTCTCTTCTTTAATTAAGGGTAGCGACCCGTAGTACAGTGCCATATAATTATATTGTTGACGAAGAGGTCAAAGTTATAATTTCCGCTGTCCCGACCGGAATTACAAAATAGCATCATGATAGCTTTAACAATAATAAATTAAATTAAAAGTGTTACCGAACCTTAATGTAATTTAACGTGAAGCACTTAGAAGAAAATCTTTTAAACGGATTAAATAACAAAATTCAAATGTTTGAATGTAAAATAGGGAAAGTTACAAAAAAAAATGTAGGTTTATTATATCTTGTATATTGTATGTTATATCTGTATTTTTTTGAGTATTCGCTGACGTCAAAATTTGCGACTAATTTAGACAATGCCTCCGAATGGTCTGTCCAATTAAAAGTAATGAATGGCCGTTTGTCAACCGATTTATGCGCATTAGTCAATTGTACTTTTTTATATGTGGAAATTACTTTTGACCTTTAGGTGTTTTTGGTATCTATTATATTTTCCACGTCACTCACTCAGTGTTATTCGTATGTAATGTTTAAATATCGTTGAGTTTTTCATAAATCTACCTGACCAAAATTCAAAATATCCATAATATTCAAGTATAAATAATGTCAAGATTACTTACATACTGTTTGACTGTATATAAAACAAGTGTGTTTTATATACAGTCGATTTAATTTCTATATGATGGTATATTCTCAATGTAACGTCATCATCAGCCGTCCGATAGCAGATAATGTCCCAACTGCGATTTGGCTGTGACCCACTACGCGGGCCCAGTGCGCATGGGTAAGTGCTAACGGGTGCAGATGCAGCTGGTACCATTGGCTTTACGTGCCTTCCGAAGCACGGAAGAGCTCAAGATAATAAGTAGGTATTTGCTCTTCCATCCAATGACCGACCATTGCGAAAGTTGCTTAACTTCCACGATCGCAGTCCGAACGCGCTAACCACCTGCGCCATCGAGCTCTTCACATAATACTAACACAGAACTAGGTACTCTGAAGTTTAAATAAAGACCCTGCTTATAATAATGCGCTTCGTTGTTGCACTTCATTCTTATCTAATCTAACTGAAAGTATTTTGAGATAATGACGTCGCCGCGGTCGAATATAAAAGCTTTCACCCGGCGTGACTTCCAAAAACTAGACCATGTGACAAAACTTTTAAAGTCTGATTTTCAATGCAACACTGTTACCAATTGAGGTAGAGAAATGTGGTTTGAGCCGTCTCGTCTCAGTTGGCTGCGACAAATTATTGGAGTGCAGCGTCAAAGGAGGAGGACAGAAATGTTTGGTACACGTACTTTAAACATTTTCAACAGATTTCCTGAAGAAATACGATTTCGATGGGCTCGACCTGGACTGGGAGTACCCTGGTGCCGCCGACCGCGGTGGCTCCTTCTCCGACAAAGACAAGTTCTTGTACCTGGTGCAAGAGCTGAGGAGGGCCTTCATCAGAGCCGGGAAGGGCTGGGAGTTGACTGCCGCCGTGCCACTCGCGAACTTCAGGCTGATGGAGGGATACCACGTGCCGGAGCTTTGCCAGTAATTATTTTATAAAGAATTCTTCGAATTTTAATAACTTTTGTGCAGCTTCGGTTTTTCTTGAAAAAATGTAGGTAATAAAAAAAACAATGAGGAGACTCATTTTTAGGATTTGATAACAAAGGTGACTTTTTTCACGTGGATATACAATTTATTGCGTTAAACTTTCATGGTCACCAACATTATAGTAATTTATGTTATTTACGGGATTGTTACCATGTACCTCGTTTTTAGAGAGTTTCCGATATTTCGGCGCCGTTGCAAGCGCCATAATCACGGAGTAACTCCGTACATGGTACCAATCCCGTAAATAACTTATTTTACTATAATGGATATACAATTTCCACCAGTCTCTCCTTTTCATTCCTTTAGTGAGAGCATAGCAAGGATATACTGTCTACTACTGTTAAGTTTACAAACGTCAAATAGCCGTGCCATGTGAAGTACTCTAGCATTTAATTTTGCCGGTTTATATAGCCGTATAAACAGCTTTTTCTGATTTTGTTTTTATTAAATCCATTATCATTATGTTTTTTGGGTCAACTACACTTCTTTCTAATTCAAACTTTCCGTCCTCAGAGAACTGGATGCGATCCACGTGATGTCGTACGATTTGCGTGGCAACTGGGCTGGTTTCGCTGATGTACACTCTCCCTTATACAAACGTCCTCATGACCAATGGGCCTACGAGAAACTGAATGTTGTGAGTTCATTTGTACCATACTATCTTTTCTATAATACATTTAATGGTGAGCACAACGTAACAGCTGTGGCCGAATACCGGATTAAAGTCCAACTGTAATTTTGTTAATATTATAATTTTACTGTTCCGTATCCAAAGGGTAAAAACGGGACCCTATTCTAAGACTCCACTGTTCGTCTGTCTATCTGTCTGTCACAGTGGAAATTTTCACAGATGATTCTGCTGCTTCTATTAGAACAAATACTAAATACAGAATAGAATAGATATTGAAGGAAGTCTCACATAAAAAATACGTGATTTTTTTGCCCGATAATGGTAGGGAACCCTTCGTGAGCGAGTCCAATTCGCACTTGGCCGTTTTTTTTATTTTAAGTTTAATCTGCTCGATTTATAAATCTAAAGATTTTTTTACTATGAACCATGGTAGTTATTATTGTAAGCCTGCTAATTTTATATTTACTTTAATATTTCTGGATTAAGAGGGAGATTATATTATTTTTTAGTTATTAATAATAAGAAAATATTCAATATTATGGTAGGTCATGTCTTGGTGTATATACACACACACACATATATATATCGAGATATTGAGTTAACTTCCTTCAGTGCCCTTAGCACTAACCAATATCGAATTCGAATAGTTTGCGAGTGCGAAATGTTACTGTCAAATTTTGTATGGAAACTTGAACAGCGGCGCCATAACGGACATAACGAGACCTAAACATCAGTACACATTTGACAATGACATTTCGCACTCGCAAACAATTCGAATTCGATATTGGTTCGTGCTAAGGGTACAGATCTAGGAGTGCGTATTGTGTGCGTAAGCGAAGTGACCAATGTCAGGGGAAACTTAGAATATTGCAATCAATTATCTTGTTTCAGAACGACGGTCTCAAGTTATGGGAAGACAAAGGCTGTCCCACCAACAAGCTAGTCGTCGGCATACCTTTCTACGGGCGTTCGTTCACCCTGTCTGCCGGTAACAATAACTACGGACTCGGGACTTACATCAACAAGGAGGCCGGTGGCGGCGACCCCGCTCCTTATACCAACGCAACTGGATTCTGGGCTTATTACGAGGTAAGAAAATAATCTGTACTGAAAGATTTTTTTTAAGTGTCTCTGTCTGTTTCCTCTTCATGCTTAAACCACTGAACCGATAATTAGGTATCTTAATGGTATTTTATTTCAAGAACAATCAATCATTTTGGTATAATAAGTTCAGCACGATATCATTTATAATATAAAACAAGCTTTCATATTATATATGTTTCGTCGCTGCCGGAAACCGACTACCACTTTTCCGTAACTGAACCATCTCCTTTGTTATGCATTTTAAAGCAGCTAGTCATGGATATAAATAATAATTATCGAATCAATTGAATCCTTAAAATCTTACTCAATAAAGACCACATGCCCCGATCGGGGCGCGCTCGAAAAATACCGCACGGTCGATCACCGCACGCCCCGATCGGGGCGCGCTAGCCACGGTACTATAAAGCCGTTTTTTGTGATAGTTATAGCCTACTTTTGTATTAAAAAGTTTAACCATAGATTAACTTGGCGAAATGACCTATATATAGAGCCGTAAAGTTTAAATAGCCCGCATGAATATAAAGTTAAAAACCCCAAGCAGGTTGCTTTCCACCTACTGCTCATAATTTCCAAGTGAGCCAACACTTGTTCGCTCAGTAAATGCAATGCTCCAAACAATGTCACCTTGTTTCCAATGTTGACTGACTAAGAGAGCATTCGTTCCCTGAGATGAGTCAAACATCGTTGTCTGAACTCGTTCTGATATTACTGATCTTTACCGAGTGAGCAAATGTTTGCCCGTTCAGATATGTTCTGAGCCTAAGTAGAAACACAGCAGTATATGGAAATGTCTGCATTATTATTGCTCTACAGATCTGCACAGAGGTGGACAAAGACGAGTCGGGTTGGACCAAGAAATGGGACGAGCACGGCGAATGCCCGTACGCTTACAAAGGCACCCAATGGGTTGGGTACGAGGACCCTCGCAGTGTGGAGATCAAGATGAACTGGATCAAGGAGAAGGGCTACCTGGGCGCCATGACTTGGGCCATTGATATGGACGACTTCCAAGGTCTTTGTGGGGAGAAGAACGCGCTGATGAAACTGCTCCATAAGCACATGAGCTCCTACAGTGTCCCGCCAGCTAAGACCGGCCATACTACACCAACAGTACGTATAAATTTATTCATCATTAGTTTCAGAATAGTACATTCTGAACAAAAGAAAATTAGGTTACGTCCAAATATCACAATAACTTAGATGTAGGCGATGGGCTGGCAACCTGTCATTATATTTCCGGAGAAAATCAACTAAAACAATACTAATGTATTGCTGTTAAATGAGGCTATGTGAATGATGTTACTTTTTACTCTCAAGTTGAACATTCCAAAGATCATTTAATAAAATACTTTTTGGTACGTATAAAATGTCCGTCTTTTTACCATTACATGATCTGAAACCTCAAGAATATTTAGAGGAAATAAATCGAGCTTTATACCCGATAAAAAGTCTAATTAAACGATTAATCTGCATGTAAAAAAATATTTCTTATTAGATTTAGAAATCTAGGTCAACGTGATAAGGTTAAAAATCAACTGCAAACACTTTTATAGTCAAAAATAAGTTTACCTAACAGCCGCACTCGAAACGTCAATTAACGTATAATGCGATTCAACTAAGAATAGGACCGACTGGGCGCCATATTGTGATGTCATAGCTGTCAATTCAAACCAAATAGGTAGAGTGAGCAAAAAAAAGTTTTTATTTAATAATACTTAATGACTAAGATTAAGTGAGAAAAAGCATCAGAGTTTTTTTAAAAACATTTATTTACCAACATTGAGAAAAACACCACTGATTTTTAATAATATTTATTTATTAAAACAGTGAGAAAAAACATTAATCAGCTCTTCTATTCCGCTGATTTCTGCATAACCGCCGGAGTAGTTATGAATAATCATGCACTATTACTAGGTCACATACGAACATGCATCCTTAATGTAAACGAAAGTTTGAAATCGAGTTGGTGACATTTGGTTGACGATTTAGGTTATCAACCATTTATAGCTAAAGCTCAATAAATGGAAAAAAAATATCAACCAATATTAATTATCAATATTTGTTATTGTCTGTTTACAAATGTTTGGTTTTTATTCTTGAATTAGCGGAGTGCTAAAAAAGGGTTCCAAGTTTTTTTTTTGCAAACTGTACTTTTCAAGCAGGTAGAGGTCACATTATTAGTTTAAATTGGTGCTGTTATTTTTTTTAGGAATACATACAGTAGAGTAAGAGAGACTTAACGATATATTCAATTTATTTGGCACATCTGTATGCGACTGTTGGTAAAATACATTTTACAGCCCTTAAAACCACTATTATTCTGAGGAAAAAAGACACAAAATATGGTAAATTTAAAACATAATTCACTAGGTGACTACATATCTGTATTGCGTATCTTGTCAACAACCACAAAACGTTAAAGATTTATTTACGCATTACATCATTCTAACAATGAAGACTAAACCGAACCTAGGACACAAGCCAAGAATCCTCCTTAAGTAGATACGTAGAAATCGATACATTCCGACGACCGTTACGTCTAAATTCTGACGCAGCATTATTTTTCCACATAATAATATTACTCCCAACTTGGTCTATTACTCATTACGGCCGAAACAGCAACTGGAATGGCGATAAATCGCCTCAACAAATTGCCGGTCGTTATTCATTTTGATTTTATCTACAGCCGGAGTGGGCGCGGCCGCCGTCGACGCCTTCTGACCCATCGGAAGGGGAACCCGTCCCTACAACAACTACCACTACTGCGAGACCGACCACTGCTAAACCCACTACTTCAGTGAAGCCCACTACTTCAGTAAGGCCGGCCACTGAAGCGTCGACCACAATTACTGAAATTGCGACTTCAGAGCTGCCCAATGCACCACAAAACCCGGATCTCGAGCCTCCACCAGCGGTAAGGACTTTATTGTTATTTAGTATTTGATAGATAATTTATTTTATCAATCGTTTGATCATCTGTATTTCGATTATAAGTTGTGTTCCAAGATAGGTGTTGTATAGAACCCCCCTGGTTCAGGTCGTTTAACTTAAAAGATTCCGATTACGATAACATTATGGTACATAACTATTAAGAAGGAATACCGTTTTTTTATTCGCCGTTTTTTCGCTTCAGATAAAGCTCAGAATATCGAAGTCTCTTTCGAGATAGGTTTAAAAAGTTTTGTTTAATGTCACTATTGTCTCCGCATACATGATTACGGACAGCAACTTCAACTTTGTTACTCATCAAACTTTGTTAGTTGAGAGAGTGATTTGATTTAACCACTTTATTAGAATTGCTTTAGACATTAATTTAAAATGCAACACCAAAGTAATAAAGATTTGCTATTTATATCTTAATTCTTTGTGTTATAGGAAAATGAAATCGAAAATCCAGATATATGCACATCGGAGGACGACTATATTCCTGACAAAAAGGCGTGTGATAAGGTTGGTTAATGATTCATCTAGTATTTAATTCCAAAAACGAGAATACTAAGACTTTCCTTACACAGTCTGAATCAGAAATGAAATCTATAATATGAATTAACAATCTGAATTTTGCTTTGACTCACACAAATGTTATAAATTCCAAATTAAAACTTTAAATAAGTATATTGTTAATCACACATTAGAGACATTATATCAACTGTCAAATTGATAATCTGATTCCTGATAAAAAATAGGCGCGTTTGGAATTGATAATCTAAATTTTCATAATAAGCGGTCTTGACATTGTTGACAAACATTCATGATTTGAATTTACCAGAATGTGTTCAATAATTATGAATTCGTAATATTATGAACCGATTCAGACTGTGTAATGCCCGCTTTAAGCGTAAAGATTAGATTACTAAACTATTTCTTCTTAGTAAATGTATTTGTTAACTACAGTTTAACCATGTTTTCAGTATTGGCGATGTGTCAACGGTGAGGCAATGCAGTTCAAATGCCAACCAGGTACTGTGTTCAACGCGAATCTGAACGTTTGCGACTGGCCCGACAACGCCAAGCGACAAGACTGCCAACTATAACCCAGCCACGCGACGCACCGCAAGTGGCCGGCCTTTTTACGAGCCACCTGAAACAGTTTATCAGACTTATTTATTCAGAGTTTGCGTACGGTGGAGATGAAAAAGAAAGAATTGTAGCATGTATCAAATATGCCGTCTTTTATGACGACATTTTTTTAGGCTCGCAATATGTCTTCGAGCAACAATGAAAAAAAAAAGCGAATTTATCTCTTTGTGATTTTGTTAGTTGATAGAAAACTCCTTTCTTATTATATAAGATAGCTCATATTGTAGATCATTCAGTATAGATTTTATTATTTGATATCTTGACCACTAAGATTTATGTTAAGGACAAAAGGATGATGATAAATCGTGGTAATACCGCCTAATGAAAACGGATAGGGGAAACACGAATTTAAGTGGTCTCTATCAAGATTGCTTGTATAAATAAATGTTAGTTTAAGTATTAGTACTTTGCTCAAATATTTTAAATAGGACAATACGAATATAAGCACTGATCGAATAGAAAATTTAAAAAAATCTCAAATTTATTTTTGACCATATGATAAAAATGCATTGTGATAACAATAATTTTATTTATGAGCAGTTTCCTGTACTTATTTACATCTAAAGAAATTTTTATTCGGACAGCGGAGCCTGTGAACATTTTCTTTAGATTTAAACAGCAGTTAAATGCTTAAAAAATATATTACTACTGTACTTGTTATTAAATGAAACGTAGATTGGTATGAAAAAAGATATTCAAAGTGTAAAAATAGTGAAATTAAATGAATTGATCGTTCGATATTCATAAAAAAAGATTTGTTTACTAAACGATATATTATGAAAATATCATCAAAAAGAAACAAAAGAAATAATACAACCTTCCAATTCATTTGTGTGGTGTGATATCATTTTGTTGCACTTTTAATATTTTACTTAATTTAAATACTAGTAATTACTACGTATGTAGCTTAATTTGTTTCAACATAATGATTGAGTTCAAAATGAAAATAATTTTAAGATATCTTATTGAATATCAAATTTAATCTTTTAGTTTCCACCTTTAATTTTGAGTAATGTATAGCGGCAATAATTCATTTAGACTTTAAAACGTTGTGTCAACAGACTTGTTTGATTGGAGTTCTATTTTAATTTAAGAAATATATTTCCTATCAAGTGATTTTGATCTTGAATGGATATGATTTACATCGGAATAAAAAATTATTGAATTTGAAAATTTTATAGAATAGTAGGACTTGTTCAGCAGTGAACAAGTCCGCTGAGTCCACCCAGGTAAACTTATTAGGTGGATCCCGGGAAAAGAAACGCAATTTCAATTATATTAAACCCAAGTATTTATTATCCAATACTTTTAGAAACATTGAATTCCTCATTCTTATGTAGCGTAAAGATATTTTTATAAATCAAGAGCATTTAGCGAAATCGTAGAAACAGTCGTAAAGATATTGCAAAGAAAATTTATGTCCGCCCGAGCCGTAAACGCGGGAACGACCCGCTAGTATCAAAATTAACAGGTGGAAGTACAAAAGGTTAAGAAGTTTCGCAAACAAATGTTTGTATTCGTATATAAACCTTAGCATAAATTATCTGGAGCTGGTCTGCTAACTCCCCGGTACTTTGGGGCCGCGAGAATTATATTTATTTCTCGTATAATTTGTTCCCAGCAGCCAATTATACGGTGGATTCCGGCTCTGAATCTGAATATTCACGGGTTCCGAGTGGCTCTAGCTCGGTACCTACCGACGCCTTTAATTTATTTATTTTAAATTAAATGATAACAAATTCCGTGTAAGAACGAGTGATGTGTTTTATTTATGATCCAATTTGACTAATCGCACTTATTTTTCTCCTAAGGTCTCTTTTGTCTATACTTTTCTGTAGTCTTCAAGTTAATAATGCAGAACTCATTCTGTTCCAGTTATAATCTCTGATTGTTATTTGTATAATCAAATTAGAAGAAACAGTTCTAGAAAATATTGAGTACATCCCTTTTTACAAACATTGATAAAAAGGTCATTTGTTCTTAATAGGTACTTTGGTTAAAAAAAGAGTTAGGTAAATTTTTACACCGGTTGACAAATCATTGAAAAATGTATCTTCATTTTTTACCTAAGTAATTGTTGATAATATGATCAATAAACATGTACATCTCGAACGTTTTGTGGTTGTTGACGAGATACGCAATACAGATATGTAGTCATCTAGCGAATTATAATGCGATTCAACTAAGAATAGGAGCGACTGGGCGCCATACTGTGATGGAATAGCTGTCAATTCCACCTAAATAGGTAGAGTGAGCAAAAAAAAGTTCTTATTTAATAAAACTTATTTACTAAGATTAGGTGAAAAAAAGCATCAGATTTTTTTTAATAACATTTATTAAATAAGATTGAGAAAAAAAAAACACCGATTTTTAATAATATTTATTTATTAAGACTGTTAGAAATACATTAATCAGAATCTAGCTCTTCTATTCCGCTGATCTCTGCATTACCGCCGGAGTAGTTATGAATAATCATGCACTATTACTAGGTCACATACGAAAATGCATCCTTTAAGTAAAAGAAAGTTTGAAATCGAGTTTCTGAATGCAACTTAAAATGACATTTGGTCGACGATTTAGGTTATCAACCATTCATGACCAAAGGTCAATAAGTGAAAAGAAAATATCAACCGATATTAATTATCAATATTTGTTATTGTTACAAATGTTTGGTTTTTATTCTTGAATTAGCGGAGTGCTAAAAAACAAGTTCCAAGTTTTTTTTGCAAAGCGTACTTTTCAACCGACATTCGACAGATAGAGATCTTCCTATTCTTATTTGAATCGCATTATATGTTTTTATTAATGTCACATAATTTGTGTCTTTTTTCCTCAAAATAATAGGAGTGGTTTTAAAGGCTATAATATTTATTTTACCAACTCCTTGGCCTAGTGGTTTGTACGCCGGGTTTCATGGTGTCGCCGACTCGAGAGGTCCCTGGTTCGAATCCCGGTGGGGGCAGGTGTTTGTGTGATGAATACGAGCATTTGTACTGCAGTCATGGTTGTTTAATATGTATTTCTATGCAAATATTACTTATATATGCACAGTATACGTATTATATCCGTTACCCTAGTATCTCATAACACAAGCCTTATAGTGCTTACTTTGGGGCTACGCGAATTGGTGTGAGTGTTGGAAATATTTATTATTATTATTATATCAAGTCTCTTTTTCTCTACTGTGTGTATTCCTAGAGAAAACAACAGCACCAATTCAAATCAAACTTCCGTTAATTGATGTTTCGAGCTCAGCTATTAGATAAACTTATTTTAAACCATAAAAGTGTTTTAGTTGATTTTTAACCTTATCACGTTGACCTAGATTTCTAAATCTAATGAGAAATATTTTTTTAATCATTTAATTAGACTTTTTATCGGATATAAAGCACGATTTCATTCCTCTAAATATTCTTGACGTTTCAGATCATGTAATGCTAACAAGACGGACATTTTATACGTGCCAAAAAGTATTTCATTAAATGATCTTTCGAATGTTTAACTTGCGAGTAAAAAGTAACATCATTCACATAGCTTCATTTTAACAGCAATACATTGGTATTGATTAGGTTGATTTTCTCTGGAAATATAATGACAGGTTGCCAGCCTATCGCCTACATCTAAGTTTTTTTTTCTGAATGGCTTCGCATGTTTTGTGCATTTAGCCAATGTCAAGTGTTAAAATATTTACAAATAATAAAGCACTCGTGGTCAAAGTAATAAATCAAGTCAAAGTAAGTGTCAGTCAAGTCAATCCCCCTTTCCCTATGTTTCAGTAAATGTGTGGGGATATACTGGAACCACCCGTGGACTTCTTGAGGGAACGCCGAAAGACACTTTCCGCTATTTTGTTCACTTGCCAACACTTGTGCATGTTCCCGAACACTTAGTGGTTAATAATCCACCATTATTAGACACTAATATCCGCCACAACACAATTTTTAACAAGAAAAACAAAACTGCTAAAGTGACGCTTCCAGATCTCGCCAAAAAGATACATCTAAGATATTGTGATACTTGGACGTAACCTATTTTTTTTTTGTTTAGAATGTACTATTCATACGTACTTGTAATGTATGTCTTATAGGTGTTATAAATTACTTTAAACCTTAATACTAAGTAAAGTAAGTAAAGAATGTGTTTTGTCAATAATACTAATATTTTATTATGAAGGTATCCACAACTGTTTTTATTATAATTTTGTATGGTGTCATCCTTCCTTCTTCAATAAACCATTGCACAAGACGAACGTATTTTTACTGCAATTCACAAATAGTTTATTGGCGACGATTTACGAATGGCGAAAATTTAAAATAGTGCATAATGTCAGTAGGGAAATTGGAATTGTGTTCATTTTTAGGTTTGGTAATGTACTACGCTAAATTTGTAAAAAATATAAGCATGCTGTTATCTCCTTTATATAAGTTGTTACGGAAAGATTCTAAGTTTGTTTGGACGGATCAGTGTTCAGAGGCTTTTACGAAGGTCAAGCAGTTGCTAGTTTCGAGCGAGGTGCTAGCGCATTATGACCCAGGATTGCCAATTATTTGACGACGGACGCGAGTGCACGCGGAGTGGGGGCGGTCATATCCCACAGGATGCGCGATGGCCGCGAAAGACCTGTCGCTTATGCATCGCGAACGCTTAATGCGGCTGAAGTAAACTACTCACAGATACAAAGGAAAGCATTGGCTATCATATTCGGTGTCACAAAGTTTCATCAATATTTGTACGGCCGGCATTTTTTGTTAAATACTGATCACAAACCGCTCGTCAGTATTTTTGGTGAAAAGGCAGGTATACCTACCATGGTGGCCAGCAGGTACCAGAGATAGGCGGTTATTTTATCAAGATATCAATTTAATATTGAGTATGTCATCATCATCATCGGCCTATTAATGTCCCCACTGCTGGGGCACAGGCCTTCCCTATGGATGGAACAGGGAGATTGGGCCATGACCCACCACGCGGGCCCAGTGCGGATTAGTGGGTGCTATCGACTGCAGATGCAGCCGCGACCAACGGCTTAACGTGCCTTCCGAAGCACAGAGGAACCCGAGATAGATTTTTGGTCACCCATCCAATGACCGACCACTGTGAAAGTTCTTTAAATTCAACGATCGCAGCCGAACGCGCTAACCACCTGCGCCATCGAGCTCCTCTTCTCTCGGTCGGTACATACGCCATTGAGCGCGGATGCATTACCTAGGCTACCTGTTGAAAATAGTTGTGTAGAAAGCGAAGTAATAACATATGTGAATTTTGTTCAGGATTTTTTACCAATATCAAAAGATTTAGCTTGTAAAAAAGTTAAAGATGATAAAACTTTAACGGGAATTAGTATGTTTTTACGTTCAGGGTGGCCAGATAAATGTCCAGCAGCAGACATAGAACCTTATTTTTCTAGGCGAAATTAATTATATTTAGACTCGGGATATATCATGTGGGGATATCGGATGGTAACATCTGAGCTGCATAATTGTATTTGAAAGCACACGGGACACATGGGTATAGTAAAGATGAAAAGCATAGCTCGTAGTTACGTTTGGTGGCCCGGGATAGACGCGGATATGGAGCGAACTTGCCGAGAGTGTGTAGTGTGTGCGCTTGAGGCTCCTTCTCCGCCGCACGTGTCCACAAGCCCGTGGCCTTATCTCTCCGAGCCCGTTTTTTTTATACGCAGGCAAAAAATACTGTTGACAGAGGACGGCGCCTTTTAGAAGCACACCGCCGAACGGACCTCACACCTGGCTCCCGCAAGCTTTACAAGCCCCAGCAGTGGCTACCCACTGAGGACCTCGTAACTCTTACGGGCGCTTTACGGCATAATATACTCTAAAAAACCCTGCGGATACCCTCTAAGCTGCTTAGCGCGAAGCCGCGGGATCCCCGTTTAGGGATTCTTCAGCGTCTTCGCACCTAGCAGCCTCCCGGCCTAGCCGGGGCTCCACGGCAGGGGTCTCCCGGGGTATCGCGGGGACCCCGCAGACGTGCGCAGGTATGCCCGCGCGTGGGGGCTGAGTACGCGGCCTAGTGCTCACCGTACTGCCCCCCGTCCGCTGCGGAGGGCTACTTGGGCGTGCCCTTGCAGCTCCCTCCGCCGCCCCCCTCTTTGCAGGACAGAACTACAAGGGGGGGATCTCTCCGAGCCCTGGAGTAGACTGCACATAGACTTTTTGGGGGCCTTCTAACGGGTATACTTTTTTTGTAGCGGTGGATTCGACAAGAAAATAGATTGAGGCATATAGAATGTCTCATCAGACAGCCAGGGACGTAATTAAAGTTTTAACGGAAATATTTTCTCGGTTCGGTCTCCCGAAAGAAATAGTGTCTGATATCGGACCCCCATTCACTAGCAAAGAAATAAGTAATTTTATGGTACATAATGGTATAAACCACACCTTCACTCCTGTGTACCATCCGTCATTGAACGTGGCGGCTGAAAACGCGGTAAAGCTCTGCAAAAAAGCTCTAAAGAAAGCTTTACATGAAAAAAAATATTTTGACACAGCGCTGCAGTCTTATCTTTTTGTATATCGAAACACGGTTTATAGTTAGTTCTACGGGTCAAACACCAGCTATGTTGTAGCAACATAGGAATTTACGATCTAGATTAGATCAACCAACGCACAAAAAGCGCC